GGTGCTAAGAGATAATTAGAGGATACTTTATGGAGTAGAATGAGAGGGAACAAAGTGATAGACTTGCATTAATGGAGGTGACAAGTGTCACCCTTGGATTAGTCCTTAAGTAAGACTACTATTCCTTGTCTTACCATTGACCAAATAAATCACAAAAATAACCAAAACTTCACCATTTTCTCTTCATCTTGGCCGAATTTCTTGAGCAACAAAAGGAAGAAAACTCTTCAAAATTTTGGGTTCAATCTTGCTTCAATCAACTTACTCAACCATCCAACCTTGATTTTGCTCCATAAAACCACTGAAAGGAGTGATAGTGAAGTGTTGTGTGGTGTTATTGGGAAAGATAAGAGGACTTATTGCTCTTTCTCTCTTGTTTCTAAGGTGAGTTGTGAAGAACTACTCTCCTCCCTTTATTGATGCTTAAATCATGCTTAGTGGTAGTATGAGATGCCATTTGATGGATTATATTTTGATTTGTGGTTGAATTGATGAACTTTTATAATTTTTGGGGATTTTTCTGTTTTAATATGAACATGATTGTGTGGCTATCTATGATGATTGGAAATGATGTTTAATGACTCTAGGAGGTGGAAAAAGTGATTAATTGCAACCAATTTCTGGTTTGGAAGAAATTTTAGAAAATTAGGGTTTTGTGAAGAATATTCTACCCGGTTTTATAGCTCCTAGTTAGAGGCTGAATTGGTCTTGGCTTAAAACATGAAAGTTGTAGGGAATGACATTTTAGAGGTGCCTACAAAATTTTAGGTCAATCGGAGTAGCGTAGAATGAGAAAAGTCAAAATTACCCTTACTGTCCTGGTTTTACCCGAATGTAAGAATTGCACCTGTAATTGGTTGTTTTAGCTGGAATTGCTTCAGAATTGGTTGTTACGCTCTTCTAATGAAATGTAGCCCTATTTCTAAGCTTTCGTATGGTTTTGGAATTTCTAGATTTGGACTTATGTAGGGGGTTTTATGATGTTTGTACTATAATACGGTTTGTGAACTTGTTTTACGATTCTGGTGTAGTATGTTACATTTTTGATGTAGTTGCACCCGAAATTGGACTGAGTGGCTTTCTTCAACATTGTAGCCTCTTAAGTCCTGAATATGCCTGTAAAATTTCAGGTCAAACGGATTAGCGTATCCTGAGTTATAGATGAAATACTCAAACCTGTTTTGAACATCAGGTTCTGTGCGTTTTTAGTTTAGCTTCTGCCCGTGACTTTTCGGTTTTGATACCGTACGATCTGGGTGTTGACTCCTTCATAAGAACTGTATATCTTGGTTTTAGCTTCGAAACGGTATAAAGTACGTCGAAATCCGAGTTCCGTAGCTCCCGTTATGACCAAAACAAGATCGATCGTCAGAACTGCCTTTGAATCTGGACAGTTCTGACGGGTACTTTGACACTCAAATTTCATTCTGTTCTGAGTGGATTCAGGTCTTGGCCAAAACATCAAAGTTTTAGCTTTATGTCTCAGCTTTCTAATGCCTTTGGAATTTCCTAATTTGGATTTGTGAGCTGGGAGTTATAGTCCAGCAAACATACCCTGTCCGTTACTTTGGAGTGCGAATTCCTGGAACGGTTTTCTGCACTTTCGACCCATCTCTGTTCAGATCCGGAGTTAGGGGTCTTCATGAAAGTTATAGACTTTTCTCTTAGCTTCACAACGGTATCTCATGTACCTTGATCCGACACTCATAGCTTTGATTAGCCTCAAAACAGTTTTGACGGCAAAATGGCTAGGCCGCCATTCCCGTTTCCGTGTGTCGCTTCCGCACTCGTATGTGCTGATTTTGCCGTTTTGCTTGTTTTAGGCATATTAGTAGCCGTTTATGATATTATGTGACGCAATCTTCTATTTCAGACGGTGGTGAGTTAGGTGGAGCCGGTGGGGCCTACTAGCTATTCCTCGCGGCACAAATTTCGAACTTTTGCTCTTTTGTTCGCTGAGTAAGTATTCAGGCCGCTCTTACGTGTTAGTTGTTTATGCGTTTCGATATGTATGAAAAGAGTACCTAGGCGAGGGTGTACTTTATCGCACTCGACCTAAACCCTAGTTTGCGCACACATTTGTACATGACATATGTATATAAATCATTTTGGAACTAAACCTCTTGAGCTTGTGGCTCGGGGTGACTTTTGAATAAATTTTGTGAAGTTTGTGAGTTTGGAACCCGATCTCATGACTTAGATGGACTATTCGAGCCGGTTAGGGCTTGGTCGAAGTCAGTCCAACCTGGTTTGAGGTCACCAAGTTTGTGAATCCGGTTCACCGATTATGTGGACCAACTTTGTGACCCGAGCTTGTGAACCAAGTTCAATTTCGTTCACTCGAGCAAGTTTGTGAGGTGTCTGGCCAGAGAGGGTGATAAGGTGTACGGTGGGAGTACAAGTGAAATTCTACGGACCATTAATTGTGGTCGACGGAGTGTCGGCAGGAGATCATACATGGCACATGAATTGGTTTTAGAGCCACCTGTATCCTTATTATGTGATGTTACTTTTCTGCTTTTGCTTTACTCTTGCTGTGTAACTGTTGTTACGTGAAATTTACGCTTTCGCCCCTGTTTACTTACTAAACATATAGCTTACCCCTTTTCTTTTGTTTTCCTTAGTAGGGACCGACGCGGGGAACTTTTGGCACACACATTAGTATAGTTAGGTTTGATTGTAATAGTCGGACAGTTAGTATGTTTGTTTTTTTTTTGGTGGTTTGTATAAGGACCCTCCTTAGGGTCTATCTTCTGCTGGTTGTGGTTATAGTGTATTAGTATGGTTTGACTCGAGACTTTTGAAGATGTAAATATAACTTTTGGGATTGTATATATTGTATATAGTGCTCTTTCGATTTATCTAGTTTTATTGATTTAAGTTTTGAGTCCTGACGCGAGCTAAGCAGGCGGCCCGCCGATACCCTTGGGTTCGCCCTTGGGAGAAGTGGGGTCGTTACATAGAAGGATCCAATTATGCAGTACTAGAGTTAGATGGTGTTTTGTGCATGCTTGGATTGTAATCTTAAGATAAGAATGTTATGGTATTGAATTCTAGATTGCATTATCTATTATGTATTCGCTTCTGTGGGCTCGTGTGTTAGTTCTATTTTGCACTTGGTTTTCATGCATGACTCGTTTGGCTTCCACTTTAATATTCTGGATGGAAGAGTCTGCTTTTATTTCAGAAGGATTATACATGACCAATCCTTTCTTGAATGATATATTTTATACATAAATTGCATCTTTTAAATTCAACCTATATTGGTTTCCTTTCTGGTGATCAATGATTATATTGATTCAAAATGGTTGATACAGGTGTTAGCTAACTTCAAATCCTACAGGATATAGCTTTTGAATCTCCATAGAAATTTGTCTTTCGAATTCTCTATTTCCGGTGCTTTTATCTATTAAATTAGAACGAACTTTAGTCTTTAGAGCTTCTAGTCATCTTAACAGGGCTGGTGTAACTGCTAGAAATGCCATGAATTTCACATACATCCCAGCCTTTTGCTTTTTACATTCTAAATTTTAATTAGCATATAAAATTTTTAAAGCAAATTACTCCGAGAAATGCAAAGGGCATTTATTGTACCAAAACAAATTCAAATAAAGGAAGTAAGTGAAATTTTCTAAAGTTTAAGGAAGGCAAATGAGACAAGTGAAATTGTCAAAAACCTTTCTCAAGATTTTTAAAATTATACCTTATTATTATTATTGTCGTTGTTGTTATTATTATTTGCTGCTTAATATAGCAAAGGCTTAACTTTTGTTCTAATTTTCCTGAATTAAGCTATATTCTTGGAAAATTATTTTCCAAAAAAAAAATTTTTGAACTACACCTAAAAATTCAGGCACCTCCCCACTAGTTTCTAGAGTCAAATGGCAACCTTGCAAGAACTTCAAAGAGAAAGCTGCCTTTCGTGACATTACAAATTTCTTGACAAAATATTTACAATACAAGAACCCAAGATGCTTGAACAGCTTGGGGTGAAGAAAGAAAGCAAGCAATCAATGCTTCACAGGATAAACAAATGGGATATAACATTACGAAGCACAGAAGCAATAATTCATCTGGAAAAGAAAGAAGTAAATTAAGGAGTGACATATAATAAGAATGCAACTATCTATAAAACATGAACAAGAATTGTCCAAAGATAAATCTCTCTCAACAATGAGCTAACTTTGATTCTCGAAAGAAACCATACACACAATGATGTCAAGTACAACCCTGAAAAAAAAAAAAAAAAAAAAACCCAAACAGCCAGGCTAGTTTTACTTAACCTTCATTGACTTGTACCAACGATTGTCCCTCGTCCAATATTGGTCTGATATTCTTCTCCCTATAGAATATAAAAAGACTAATGGAATGAAAAACAGCAAGAAAAAAGTAGAAAAACCCCGTTACAAAGGATATCAAGACCAGCCCTATAAATACTACGAAGGCAATCTTGTCATCATGTTGGATAGGTTCCGAATGAACAAATTTCAACAAAGTATTCCCCATATGTTTCTGGAAAAAGAGGGCCGGTATAAGTATATATGCAAAGCCTACAGCAGCCATGCAAAAAATAAAGCCAAACCCTCTAGGCCGGTCGTCCTCTTCCTTCTCCACCTCCTCCTCCACCGGCCGCCGGCAATTTCTCCTGCTAGGCATAACTATGAAGTTGTCGGTTGAGAAAATTGGGATTTGTACGTACGATTTTTAGATGATTGAATTTCAGATATTCACCAATAAGTGTTTGGTGTACTTGTTGTTGCTGTTTGGTAGTCCAAGATACATTTGTTGTTGCTGTTTGGTACGCCTGTCAACGGGCCAGGTCCAAGTCAAAATTAATGAATTCGAACCCATCATATTCTATTAGTTCTGGATTCGGTCCAAATACTCGACGGTCTTCTAGTCTTTCTCCCGGAATCACCCCGGTCCCGGCTCTGGGTCGGGCCTACCCTGAAAAAAGGCCAGTCAGAAGCCTTCTAAGTGGGGTCACTCCTTCTGAAGACCTAAGAAGCAGAAACAGCTGCTATAGCCGCAGCTGTTTCTGCTGCCACCTCATTTCCTGGAGTATTTTTGTCCACCTTGAACACACTTCTGGGGGTGTCCATATCCTCAGGCCTCTCCCAACAAGCATGGTCCCTGCTTGCATCTCCTACCTAATGGATCAGAAGTCAAGATGTCACATTTAACACCAAAAGAGAAAAAAGGGGGGGGGAGGGAATAATTCTTGGAGAGGACAGAAACCTACACATAGATTGTGTCTGGGTGGGCAGAGGCTTTGAGAAGGTAATCAGTAGCCCAGCGAATGGTGTCTTTAGCATTCTGAAGCTCGCCTTTCATGAGGCCGCCAAACTCAATGACACTCCAGGAGAGCATGGTGGTGGTGAACGCCATTGGAAGCCCAAACTTAACATTGTTCCCTGCATCATGATAGCCTCCCACCAAATCAACCTGCAGCAGCATTGTCCCTCAAAAGTAAAGAAATAAGGCAAAAAAAAACCGAAGTAGATACGAGGCTCAACAACCCCGAAAGATTGAAAGACGTACATGCATTGCAGAGCCATTTGATAAACCAGAATCCTTCCTCCAAGTGATTCTCTGGTTAGAAGGAAGCTTTCCTGACCTCTGCCCCTCAAAGAAGATAATAGATTTGGAGAGAGCATCTCTGTAGTTGTGAGAGGCGAAGCGAGGGTGGCGGTAGTGTGGTGGGTAAGCAGCAGCATTGCAGAGAAGCAAAGAGGTGGAGTAGAAGGAAAGCAAAACGAGGGCGGTGGTCACCACCAGTGAAGCAGAGGAAATGTAGTTAGTCATTTTACCGCTGCCCTTGCCCGTTTGACGGCAGACTGGCCGAGGCAGAGCAAAAGGGAAAAGAGAGTGTGAGGGAATAAGAGATGTGCGGCGGCGGGATATTTTTTTTTTCTGACATTTTCTTACAGAAGTAAGAATTTACCTAAATAAATCGATTCCCCGCAATAACTTCAAAAGCCGGTAACTTTTGAAGTTATGTGAGGGACTTATTTATTCAAACCCCAATCCTCCCAATACCGATATGGGATAGAAAACCCCACAGAATGTCCCGACGGCGGGATATTAGGGTTGAAAAAATTTGGAAATAGTAGCATTGTCCGGAAATAGTAATGTAGTATTGATATGATAGATTAATATATATATTTTTTAATTATTAATTAATTAAAATGGATTGCAGTCACATACGGATCAAAATAGTATATTCCGTTTCTAATTTATTTTTTCATTAAATAAAATGAGTTCGAGTTTCGGTCGCGAATCTATATACCTACTTGTACCCGAAAAATGTTGACAGATCCGATTCAAATTTGGGTCTGGCCCCGAACCGTTGACGGCCTCCTGTTTGGAGATAAATACGTTATTGATTTGATTTGGTCAAAGAATCTGACTGGATTGTATGATGGAAGAAGTCAAATGTTGGTTTTGACTACGTAACTGAATTGGTGGCAAACTGGCATACGTCACATTTGTTTTTTTTTCTAATTATTTTTTCAGTAATATATATATATAAAAGTAGTTATTTTAATTAGAATTATTTCTCATTTTTACGTGACATGCCTAATTGAAAAGAATTAACGGGTTATGGGTCATTTGAATTTTATTCATATTGAACATTATATTATATATTTAAAAATTATCCCTAATTTTAAAATAACTAATCTTATCTCAATAATATATAAAATAACTTTAAAAAATAACTAATCTCATCTTAATGCTTCCTATGAAATTATTACATAAAACTATAGTAAAATCTTTTTTAAATCACAATCATTAAAATCTTATATATTCCATAAATTACTTCCTTTCACCACTATATCATTGATTAGTATTCAAATTGTTCACCACATCTTCGCTTAATTTTGAATTAACTTAGTACAAAAAAAGAATTAATTGTTACACCAACAAATTTACCAATATTGTTGGAAATTAAATATTTATTGATTGAAAAAAAATTTGGATTGCTGGATCTTTTCTACTTAATTAAATGTGAATATATAGTTCTAGATTTATGGTCATTATAAAAATTTAAATTATCTAAAAGAATATTTATAAAAAAAAATAATATCTACCAAGTTTTTGATATGTGATACATTGTTTAATATACCCTATCACATTATAGTGAAAGTATGTAAACAAATTTTTAAAAATTAGAAAATAATTGAACATTTCGAATACATTAATTTTTTAAAGTTAATAAGTATGGACATGTAGAATTGTTGTTAATTTTCATACTTAAATTATTCATATTTGTATAAATTCACAATAAATAAGAAAAGAAACTGTGCTAAGACATGGGGCAAAATTCTAGTTAAAGGTTAAATGCACAAAACCTGCCTACGATTCTATGTGATTTGCCCTTTACGTTACTTTTGCTGCACTTTTCCTGCATTGATGGTTAGAAAATGTCTGAAATTCCAATTTTGCCTTTATTTTTATTTTTCTACACTTTTATTCATTTCCCCAGTTTCCCTACCACAGTTGCAAAATGTTCCCTTTTTTTTTTCTGGGTAAATAAGGAACTGAGCTCCAAAATATCACACTTCTATCTTGAACAAAATGTCCCAAGGCTCAATAGATTTGAAACATTGCTCATGTTCAAGATGTTCCTCCTCAAATGATGAACATATCTCAATCGTAGGATGTGAAAATAATATTAAAAAAAAACTCTATTTTATGATGTTGACAATCTATTTTTGAGATCTGAAATCTAGATGAATGTTTCATTATCTTGTTACTATAATAGTCTTTCATGTATACTTTTCGCAGCATTAAATCAAGTAAGAAAATTATTAATGTTTTTCTGACTTGTATAACTATTAAACTTCTGACATCTTAGAAAACTCGTCACAAGATTTTCACGCATTCCACGTGCATTTGAATGCCTAATATTGCAAAGTTTCTGTTTGTGTTGTATCTGGTGCTTTACAAACTTCAGAATTTCTTTGTCAATACGTTTTTCAATAACGTATAATAAAAATCGCGTGCAATCCACAAACTGCTAGTTTATGAATTGTTGTAAACATTATCCTAATCATGATTATGTTTTGGAATTTGACATAAAAAAAAATTAGGAGATTATTCATGACCTAAGCAAAATTGCGCTGTGTACAAACCAAAATTTTTCTGTTTGAGCATATTTTGGACACTCAAAAAGTTTTTGTACACAAAATCTTCTGTGAGACTAAAAAGCACTAAAAACAAAACACACTCTCTAATTACTCCAGAATTTTTTTGTGCAAGACTTTTCTGTGAGACGGGACTAGAGGTATCAGTTCACATAAACATGTATGCAACAAACTGAATAAGCCCCAAGTGCTCCAGATAATCCTGTCCTCCACAAAGGAATATATAGATTAAGCTGTTCAAAGCAGCAATTTGCTTAATGAAAAGCAAAAACTGGTTCCATCGACAAGTTTACATGTGGGCATGTAAAGAATAATCATCTCTATACAATTAATCCTCGTTCCTGAATATAACCACTAATCAACATAATCATCTCTACTGACTAAATCCTAATCGCGCTTTGATATTCTATCAGGATTACTGGTCTCCGTTGCCTTGATTGCCATGGGAGCTCACCCCCCCACGAATGCGCTTCTGCAGATGCTCCAAGCTAGCCACGCGTTGCATTGAGGATGTTCTCCCTATCTTGTTCCCGGAAGCTGCTGTTGTTGCAGGATTCTGGCACACATTGTTATCAATGGAAGGAATTTCTAACATACCATTTTGGATTCTTGGATTGTGAGCAGGGAGATGATTACCCGATGGGGCTTGATAGTAATGGCGCTGTGAATCATCTTGGACGGGAACAGCAGCATCAGTCGATGTGTCTGACGGACTAGCAGCAAATGATGGCAGGGAAATAGTGGATATCTCTGACATAGCTTGGAACAATGGACTCAAGCCGGTAACCCTTTTAACAGTTTCTTCAGCCATCTTCACCTGCGAAGAGAGACAAATGCAAGAACTCAACAGAACTCAAAGATTTGCTTAAAGCAGACTGCTTTTTTTTTTTTATTGGATTTCGGTTTCTCATTCAGATTCTTATGTAAGAAGACTAAAATGTCTGTCATAGGTACAGAAGCCGTTATAGAGTACCACTAGAACCTTTGGGGGATACAGTTACCTTTGCTCTTAATGTCTCAACATCAGCTTTTAGAACTCTATTATCAACAGCTGCTTCATTGTATTTCGTACTAATGTCAGTTAGGCGCTTTAACAAAGAAGAATTTTCAACTCTCAACTGAGAAACCTAGGAGAATAAACAGAGTATGTCAGAAGGTCTCTCAGAAAATCAACAGTTGCCAACAAAGAAACAATGACAGTAGCATGCCTGTGTCTCAAGCTCAGTCAAATGGGCCTGCTTTCTTCTTCTTGAGCGTCTAGCTGATTCTCTATTTGAAAGCATTCTGATGAACACTAGCTTAATTAACACAAGGAAACCAAACTGATATCTTCCTTTTCTATAGTTTGCATAATGGTATCAAAATTTCTCAGAATATAAGCATGGAAATTAGAAAGCACTGAAAAGTTTATCCAGGAGCATCAACATTGAAAACTCAGATGTCAATAAGGAAAATTGGCATAGCATGCGGAATTTGTAAAGGCTGCTGAACTTTCAACTTACAGTCTTCTATTTCATAAAGCTCAAGCAAGCTAGCCTCAAATCTAATGTTTTGGAGACTCAATTATGTATACAAACAAGAAAAGATGTTACACTATCAGTCATCGCATTGGGACCACAAGCAGCAGTTAAAGCTTGCTTCTTTCTATGACAGGTGAGGAAGATAACTAAAACAACTACCCATACACTATTTAGACAATGCATTAAATTAATACCATCAGCAACGCCTTGCCTGTTTCAGTTGGAACTAAACTCAGGCCCAATAAAAATGCTAGGTTCTCCATTACTCCCAACAGTTTATCTTCAGTTCACCACCAATGCTCCACGATAAGAGATTAATTAGAGAAAGCATATTAAAAGGTGGATGAGGAGACACTTAGAGGTCAAAGGTAAACCAAATGTCTTCCCAATCATCAAATTTCGATTGCTTCCTCCTTTTTTTGTCATTCTCAAACTCAATTTTAACCCATGTAATTTTCTTCATTTCAGAGTTGCCTACCTCATATTGATGGCAACTATGGCAGAACCAATTCAAATCCATCAAAAGGATCACTGCAGATCACTTATTGTTAGTTAACTGAAGAAACTTTTCCAAAGTGTGGATTTACACAAATAGAGGATTTGTGCAATTTATCAGAAATAAGTTGCATTATAACCAAATGCAAATAACTTAGAAGATAACCAGCACAGAAAACTAAAGCATTCAACTCAAAACAACAGCTAATCAGTAGCAATCTATGGACTTTCACCCAGAAGCAATAAAAAATGGTGGTACAACTTAAAAGGGATCCAAATAGGAACCACATCACTTGCCAAAACGTAATAAAGCAGAAAGTCCAATCAAGCAGTAGAAGACGAAATGAAGCTATTCCAAAATATCTCCTCTGGAAATTAGAATGAAAACTAATTAGCGAGATTTTACAGACTCACCCTACTGGAAGGAGTGATTACCTTCTCATTCGTTTTGCATCAGCTGGATCCATATTTTCAGCTGCCTCTATTTCTTCTTCACCTTCGTCTTCATCTGACTCCTCCTCTCTGGAAGAACCACTTGTGGTTGACCTCATCTGGATCCCAGATTTCTTCTGCAGTGCAGGCAATGAAGGTATTCCAAGTGGCCCCCCAACATCGTTGTCTTGTCCTTTGACAGGATCAGGCC